GTTTTCAAACGGTTTGGTTGGAGGTATTCTATATGCATTTGTACAGCTCTCTTAATGGTCCACCCATATGGTTCAGACTGCTTTATACAGCATGTGCAGCCTTGGGCCAAGCGTCAAGGCTCGAGTTTCTCCAGAGTCCATGAAGGGCAAAGCCACGTTCCTTGCAGTGATGTTTCGTTGGTGAGAAAACTGGAAGAACGTGTTGGTGCTCTGTGAATTGCAGGTGACTTAAACATCCAAATCCAACCGCTTGCAACAAAAACAGTATATAATTGGAACCCGGTCTTTTCATCTGTCTCTCTTTACCTGCAGGAACTGACTTGTAGACACAACACTTTAATGACTCGTAAGGGCACCAGATTCTTGTGCTTATCCTCTATCCATGAACACCATTTGCACCCTAGTTCAATCGCGGACCTGGTTTTGCTGCCAATGCAGGCGGAAGGGCACTTACTCTCATGATCCACCCACTGCTGTTGATACAACACATCAACACAATAGATGCATTGTGATTCATCCATTTACAATAGGAGCAAGGACGCTACTAGGTTGACCAAGTCTTGCTTCGTCCCATGGTCCGTTCCACTTGCGCCATCGAGCCGCCATAGCGAGCTGGCGCCAAAGCTAGCCAAGGCCTCGCCCGCTGAGCAACAGGGAAACCGAGCTGATCACTTCGCGCAAACTCCCCGATGTAAAAACGTATGCACGGTCTGCGGACTGTCCAAAAAACGGACGAGGTTGAACTTGGCATTGGCTCACATATTGAGGCATGCTCGCCGGAACAAAGATCAATTAATATGGGAGGAAGATGGAGGAAGTACTAGAACATGAAATAAGGCCAGCATACAGCATAAGATAATTGTGAGCAGCACCTAAGGGCTGGGTTCTTTTCATTGTAGCAAGGGCACCTTGCAGTGGCACCAGCATCCAAGCTCCAACGCCGACATGGCCATATCTGGCACCGGCATCCTGCAGCCACACCCAGCACCAGCACCGCTCCAAAGAGCACGCGGCACCCTGGAACGGCACTCACAAGCACCCTCCAAAGGCACCAGCATCACAGGCTCCATAAAGCGCACACTGCCATATCTGGCAGAAGCACCCTGCAGCTGCACCCTCCACTCAGGCACCAAAGCGGACACAGGTAACTCTTCCTATACTTGAAGCAAAACCCCAATAGCTTTCGCTATCTTGAAATACACCCTGACAGTGAAGTGTCTACATATTCCACCTCAAGGTCCCAGCCATCAATGACACAAGTACATCCGAATTCGAAATCCCACCAGCTACAAGCAGGCTGCACACCCACACCCACCATCTGGTGGAGATCACATAACTGTGACAGGTGAAGCTTTTTACTCATGGCTTTCAAGCACATGCTTGTCACACGAAGCCTTGTTGTTTTCTGGCTCTGGCTTGAAAGTATTGGTGGGAAATGCCAGAAATCAAGAGCACACTACGAGAGAAGTGAACAAACCTGTGGTTTAATTGGCTGCTTCTGGACGTTTCCAAATATACAGTATTTACTTTGCCTTTCACAACACCTTTGCCGCAGCTACACCGTGTGCCATCGAGTGTCATGGTTCCCCGTTGCGATGGCATACTCGCAGCACCGCTCAAACTGCTCCACCGACATCCGCCTAGCGGATCCACGCAGGCTTGAACGAAGGGGCTTGGGCTCGGGCGAACGAAGCCCGGAAAGCACTGGAAGGAGATTCTAGAGCGCACGTAATGGTAGAAGCGTTATCATTTCTATACAGCTCTCATTTGAAGCCATTTCGGGTTGAACGGAAGCCCCATGCTCACTTCCAAGGAAGGTGGGCACAGCAAGAAAATGGCTTGCTGCACTGCACAACCACTTGAACACCCTTTGTGATTATCCAAGTGTGTGGTGAAACTTCCAACTTGCACCATGAACAACCAAACTGAGGAAGCTGTCGACCCTCCAAGTGCTCAATGACACTGTTTTCGAACATGGTTTCGGGCGCTCTAAATCTGTATACCAGGCGCAAATGACTCAGGAGTAGTGGGCACTAGTGACTCAGGAGTACCCCACAGCAGGACATCAAGTTAAGCATCAAAACCATAACCCTGACAAGCTACAGTAGCCCCAATTACACTGAAATGATAGAAACCATGTCCAATCATTTCAGAAAGGAATTCACCGCCATACCATACCCACAAATGATCCCCATAAACTGTATAACTACTTTTCTCATGCCTTATGCCGTCTTGACTCTTCCCAACCACACACTGTGGCACTTGGGGCGCCTCAACTTGGCCAGACTTTCCTTCTCCTGTGTCTCGGATTTGGCCGTACCAGTCACTTAGGCTGAGATTGTTTGGCTTGATCATTTCAAGGTTTTTGGGCTCCCATGGGCTCCTAATCTTCATCAATTCTATGACAAGCAAGGCACCTATGACAGCCCCAAAAAAGCAACAATCTGTACACATCTGTACACTGTATACATCTTGCGCTGAGTATGATGATATGTATATTAATTGAATATTTTGAGGTCTCAACTTCTCAACCAGCATTGAAACTAAAGGCAAGGAGCTCGGATGATTTCTCTCAACATGTCCCAAACCAACTGCGCCTGCTCGAGGGGGTTGATCAAGGATGCAAACACTTCTCCGCACAAAGCGTGGCAGGCGCCGCGCCACCGAAGCAAGTGATTTGAAGCGTACCTCACACGACGACAAAAGAAAAGGTAGTTTTATGAACCGACACGTTCATCTCGTACACAAGTTGAAGAGCCTTTGATGGAGTTCATCCACTTGCCGATTTGCTAAGTGACCACCCAAATTGGTTTCTGCTCTTTCCCTTCGTCAGGGCACTTGGGAATGGGTGCGTCCACTTTGCCAAGGCCCTGGATGCTGCACATCAATGCATACTTGGCACCTCAGAAAGCTCGTTAAGGAACCACCCCAATCACTTCTGAAGGGTGACCATGTTAGATCCAAGTCGAACTGTGATTCCTGTGCATACGTTTATGGCTCATGGTCCATGGTCATTTATGTTCATGTTGGAGGTCTTCTTGGGTTCAGCCAAGCACAGTGCCATTGTAAACCACGTCAGTGAAACAACATGCTACGGAATTTCGCGGCTCTCAGGCTCTTGCTTCGGAGGAACAAACATGTCAAATTCCATGAAATTGTCATATGAGAACCAAAAATTGTTCAACCTGATGACTTTGAACAAACACTACGCCCTCCATGGCACTCAACCTCTGGGTGGCCCTACCGATGTTGGGGTTCATCGGCGGCTTCAAGCACTGTCGCCCCAACCTGCAGGGGATCAGGTATGGCCTCACCTGATAACTGCTAAGTGGCTTGGAACGGAAAGAAACCGGGCCACTTGGCCTTGAACATCCTTCAATCATCTTGAAATCCCTATGTTTGTCACCTGGCAACAGCTGGCGAGCGCCTGGTCCAGAGCTCCACCCAAAGTGTCAGCATCTCCTGCTTTAAAGACTCAATGGCCTCCAACCTGCTAGCAATGGCCTCGAACTTAAGAGACCTAAGAGCGATTGCCTCCAAAATAGAAGCAATGGCCTCCAACCTAAGAGCGATGGCCTCCGACCCCGAACTGGGAGCAATGGCCTCCAACCTAAGAGCGATGGCCTCAAACCTAGAAGCGATGGCCTCTAACCTAGAAGCAATGGCCTCCAACCTAAGAGCGATGGCCTCCAACCTACTAGCAATGGCCTCCAACCTACTAGCAATGGCCTCCAACCTAGAGCAAGCACTGGAGCATCCTGCTAGCTTTAGTCATCTCATTGAAACAAAACACAACACACACACACAATTTGATGTAGAATTGTAGAACCCTGGATATAGCTGCAAGAAGGCTGGTGGTGGTGACCGTAGCGCCGTAGTGTCAGCGTTGAAGCTGCTGGGACTGTCACTCAAAGGATTGGCTCCTCATCGTTTGCAGGAGGAGTCCATTTCCGTAGCAAGGCTATAGCCTGACGGCTCGCGTGCAAACTCGGATAATATTGTTCACAACGGGACATCTACCAAAATAAACGTATTTCAAAAATTTTAAAAACATATCTGGTGTTACTAGTAGCTTCTTGTTACTAGTAGCGATGCACTTGCTACTGGTAGCGATGCGCTTGTTTTAACGCTTTGTTTTGTTTCACATGATTCATATCTCATCATATCTATTTATTTATGTGAACACGGTCTTTGTCCTCATATAGATAACTTCACGACTCTACAACCTTGACGTTGGAAGCTGAGAAGGGTGCTCCTGAGATATCGACTTGATGTGATCGTTGGTCTAGTCTACCTCTTTGGGTCACGTCCACCTCTTGAGGACTCCTCAGATACGCCAGTAATGCAAACGCATGGCGCATGGGCATACTTCATCAAAGTGAGAAAACCCGGAACGCGCGGTTCCTCACTTTTCCTTACTGTCTTGAGCAGTTGTGGGTTTCGTATGGAGACAAAGCCGCATGCGAACGGATCAGTTCCCCATCTCGCCTGTTCCACTAGCTTCTTGGCTTCCTCCCCATCCTCGCTGCCAACACATTGCCAGTCATGGATTTGTGTGGGAATGTCCTGCGCATACCTTGCCCACAGGCACATCCATGTCATACTTATGCATATGTAAACCATGCTGGAACAAAAAAGCTCTTGGAACCGCAGGAATTGGTGGCCAGTCCTTGGCCTTTGGCATACTCATGATGGCCACCATGATGTCCACCTCGTTGCCCTGGCGTCATTCGCAAGGAGAACCTTCCTTCTCCGAAGGACGGTTCTTCTTGAACCGAGCCGCGTTAAAACACGAGAAACCAGGCCACCAGCCGCTGACACTTGGCATATTTTCACTGCGGCAAGTAGTGGGGTGTCCTTTGCATGGTGCCACTGGTTTTTGCACGCAAAAGCTTTGCCTGCAGAGGTTCGCACTACCAAGTCGCTGAGATCTTCATGTCCCATTGCAGTCGCTGAGATCTTCATCCGGAGCATTCTGAACCACTAGCATTCTGCAAGCATCAGAAATCCAGCCATTTTTGTGGAGTCGGAATCTCTTCCGGAACCAAGAAGCACTTGGCCTCCGATGCCGGCGATGCCACGGGTGGTGTGGGTTCGGACTCCGCTTCAACGGGCCTCAGCTCTATGTTGAGGAGAAGCTTCACTCGTTCCACAAGGCTCTGCAGCTGTTCGTCGATCTCGCCGTTGCCAACAAACTGCCCGGAGTTCAGGGCCTGCCGCATCGATGAGACGGTGTCAGACTGTGTGAGACCGGATGGAACCAAACAAGGCTTGGTCCGGAATCTCCAGGTGTTCTGTTCTTTGCGGCTTCCTCTTTGGATCTCTTTGGGGCCTTCTGATTCTATTTTAGCCTCTCTACTTCAGCTTTGCTACAGTATTGTGTCCAATCTAATTGTCTAAGTCATTACACCTGGTGCTGGAATATGCTGGAAGAGTGCCTGCTCACTTTGCCGGAGGTTTGTCGTGTATTTCCCGTCATTTGACGGGAGGTATATTAAATGCAATGCACTTTGCATTGTCAAAAGAAAGGCCGAGTTTCAATGGCCACAATCCCATTTTGCTGGTTTATTTGGGCACCGAGGATGATTGCCCTCCTTGGCGAAAGCTCTGCATTGTTCTGTGACGGGAGATGCTTGGACAAAACAATTACGTGACCAAACACATCCAAAACACCAACCAGCACGTGTTCAACCAAAGGTTTGTCCATCACCACTTCGATCTTTTGCCCCCACAGTAGCGTCCTCATGCTCCTAGTAGCGATGCCAGGAGCCCCTAGTAGCTTCTTGTTCCTAGTAGTAAGGCCAGGAGCCCCTAGTAGTGTCCTTGCTCCTAGTAGCGTCCTTGCTCCTAGTAGCGATGCCAGGAGCCCCTAGTAGCTTCTTGTTCCTAGTAGCTTCTTGTGCTTTACCTTCAAGGCTATACGTCATCCCCCCTTCTGCCCAAGTATTCCAAGACGGGCTCTGTGAGTCTCACGCAAATTGGCTGGGGGCGCTCTTACACTGGGGGTTTTCTATGGTTTTCTGCTTCGGCCTGAGATACCCAATGCCGGACTTGTGCAGCGCACACTTATGCGTTATACCGAAGATCTGCATTGCAAACCACCTTTTCACCCCGATGGTTTGGTCCCCATGCGCTACATTTCCCCTCAGATTTTGGTTGCTGATGCAATCCCATTAACCTTTGAGCAACGCTTCCTATACCGACGTAACCTTCGTAAAACTTGGAATCGTAAGGGAGATGTCTCGTTGGTGCCCATTCCGCCGGCACCTAATTAGATCACCAGTACTCCGATGCTTTGCTTGTCAATTCAGAATTCACCAGCTTTCGCCTCTTCGTGCCACGCGGATATTCGGTTTCACGTAGTTAGTGCTTCCGCTGGTGTATATAGTGCATACTTCACGACTGTCTTACAACAAGATATGTCACCACACTCCTGGGTACCCACCAACTCGGTGAAGGACCGCAGGAAGCGATCAGACGTCGACCGCAAGTTTCGTGAGTAGTAAGGCCAGGAGCCCCTAGTAGTGTCCTTGCTCCTAGTAGCGTCCTTGCTCCTAGTAGCGATGCCAGGAGCCCCTAGTAGCTTCTTGTTCCTAGTAGTAAGGCCAGGAGCTACTAGTAGCGTCCTTGCTCGCCTTTTCCATGACCGCCAAAGCCAGTTTGCCCGCTCGTCGTCGTGTGACCTTGCGAGATCCCACGCCCAGCACCCAGAGACCCTTGAGGTCACCCGCCACCACGTGGACCACATGCGGCAGCCCTTCCCATTGACCAGGGACTCGCACTGGGTATTGCCAGTCACGCATGAACTCGACTTCCTCACAGGATGCCACATGTTTTTTTAAATCTTTATGCCAACTTCTTTTTCTGCCTTTTTCTTGGGCATTCTAGCATGTTTTAGCAACTTAGTTACTTGCGAAAGACCCTGCCTCCACGCTGAACTTGCTAGATAATGTGAAGGACATTTGGAGCAGTGGATCTTTTTCATCCAATGCAAAGAGGGCCAAGACTTTATGCTTGTTCTCCCCACACATCACCGCCCGTAGAGCGATCTGAGGATCTCCAAAGTCACTGGTCCAACCATCCAAGTCCCTTGCTGAACCACCGCAGTATGCAGGAGTCGTCGGAGCGATAGAGATGCTGTAGAAACCAGGGATGACACCCTGGGCGAAGTGTGGATGAAAGGCGCCGCTCGCATCAAAGCTGAAGGAGACATGAAGTTCCTGATTCTCTCGAAGCCAGCGTTGAATCTTCGGGGGAATACGCCAGTCAGCGTCGATCTCGCGAAGGTCCGCATTGGTGGCATAGAAGGCTTCATAGTCTGCTGCTGTGCGGATGGTGTCTATGTATCCAGCATTGTAGGCCTTGATGTATAGCAAGCGTTTCATGTCAATCTGCAGGAACTTATCTGAAACAGCACGAAGAGGATCTTTGATGTCCTCTTCACTCACCACAATGACAGATAAATCAGATTCCTGCAATTTTTGAATTGCATAACACAGCCGGCACAGCCGCGTATTAAATGAATCCCCAGTCTGGTCTGTTCCCACGTGGCTGTCGCTCACCGTTTCAGCATCTAACACACAAACGCTGACCGGCTCCGGTTCCTCCATCAATGCGAGAAAATCATGCTTGAATGGCGCAGGCACATGCACCCTGCTGTTAAACCTGCAAACCCTGTCCCCTTGAGCAATCTCTCCCAAACATGATATCATGCTTGCTGGAAACCGTGGAGGAGTTCCATCTTTCCTGTCTTGCCTGAGTGAGAACTGATTCCCCTTTCTTGACCCCAAGAAATTGACCAATAAGAAGCACTAGAATACCTACGAACTAGAATGCTACTAGTAACAAGTGCATCGCTACTAGTAACAAGTGCCTTGCTAGTAGTAACAATAATTAATTCTTGTTTCTACTAGCTTCTTGGAATACCTAGAGGCATGGCCATCAGGAAGCTTGACGGACGGTCGAACCATACCTAAACAATGGTGCACCCTGGACCCTGCGGGCACTTGGGTGAACCCTCATGAAGCACGCAATAGACCCATTTTAGTCACCACAAAACAGGGTAGAAATAGAATAGAATATTAGGCAGCTCTAGAATTGGGTCTTGGATTCCCATCTGCTAAATGTTGTGACACAACAGAAGAAGAACAAACTGCAGTGATCCAACAGAGCACTCACTCTTCACCAACCCCCGAGCCGAGCACTCACGGCACTCACTTCACCCGAGAAGACTCAGGATGAAGGAGGACATGATCCTCCGGATCCGTCATGAACTAGGAGCAAGAGGACGCCACTAGGGGCTCCTGGCCTCGCTACTAGGAGCAAGGGCATCGCTATTAGTAGCAAGAAGCTAGCAGTAACACATGAGGAACAACTAATGGAAGATGCAGAAAGAGATGCTTCTGAGACCGCTGCAAGAGATCTCCCATGGTCTCTCGAAGCATTAGCTACCCCAAAATGCCTCTCAGTTTCCAGGTTCAACTGAGAGCAGTCATCAATGCATCGACTTTAAGTGTGGATCCATTTGTCCTTAATTCTCACCGCTCATCTTTGGGTCGTTGCACATGTCGCGCCATGTGCGCCTGCAAGTCTGTTGGGTCGGCGGTTTCTGGTTGTCCTCCATGGCTGCGGAAGAGAAAACCCTCCATCCACCATTGCTCTTTGCGAAAGGCACACTTACTTCTTACTTGCATTATCTTCTCGCAAAACACACACACATGATTCACATGATATATCTAAACAGGAAACTCCGTATCTGCTTGATGTGTTTCTGCGTGGTCCTTTTTGGCCCTTTGCAGGAGCAGCAGCCTGGCGAGTCATGAGAAGCATATTGAACAAGATATGACCCCAATATGTTCTGCTATGTTCTGCTTATCGCATGAGGGAAAGTGAGCACCCTGCAAACCTCCTGTATCTAGCAAAGGGCGGCCCAGGGATCGACTTGGACAACTTGAAGGATCTCTTGGATGATTTGAACACTTCTTGGAACGTTTCTCCATAGACAAAGACGAACAAAAACACTTTCTGACATGTTTCAAGACGTTGAACAAGCCTGGGTCTTCAGCTGCGTCACGTCAGGCAAGGGCTTCTCATTCTCCTCAAAGGCCCATCCGAATCTTTGATTGGAGACTCAAAACCAACCTACGTAGCAATGGCCTCCAACCTACTAGCGTCCTTGCTCCTAGTAGCGATGCCCTTTGTTCCTAGTAGCTTCTTGCTCCTAGTAGTAAGGCCAGGAGCCCCTAGTAGCGTCCTTGCTCCTAATAGCAATGGCCTCCAACCTGATAAAGACTATCTAGACTATGACAGTTAGCACCTCATAGACAACTCTGTTGTCTTTCAGAGCACGACAGCCACTCTCAATGCTCACATGAGTGTAAAATTCCCAACATCTCCTTGCACACCTGCACAATGCGCGCCATGATCTCCTTCCTTTCGCAAGGACCAAGGCGCTTCCTTGCATGTGCTGAAGATTCTGAAAAGGATGCGGGTGCTTCGAGAGCAAACAGGGCACCCAATTTGCTACTTGCAACTTGCACTCCCTGAAAACAAACCAAAAGTGGCCACGTGGGACTTCCCCTACCAGGTCAAAGGTGACATTGTGGGGAGGGTAGCTTCTTCTTCAAGACTTGTCAAACAGAATTAATTAAACATTATGCTGTACCATGCCTACCGAATCCAAGGACGCCAGAGCAGGAAACATCTTTCAGCTTTTTCTTGATAGAGCAAGGTGTGGATAAACAAGGGGGGATTCGGTTTTCGAACTTTGAAGCGGCTGGAAAGGCTCCATCAAATCAACAAGGATATATAAAGACTGAATTAGACTGAATATTAATTTAAACACATGTAGTGTTCATTTGGCTTGGCCCCAATCGACAAACGAAACACCTGCTGCTTGGTCTGCTGGATCTTCCCGTGAAAGCTGGTGAAAACTCAATCCATCCCCAGTCTCAAGGGAAACACAGTGACTAGGAGCAAGGACGCTACTAGGGGCTCCTGGCATCGCTAGTAGGAGCAAGAAGCTACCAGGGGCTCCTGGCCGTGCTACTAGGAATGGCTGCACCCTCCCAATTCTGCTCAGTCACAACGTCAAGAGGTTGGCCGTTTCAAGAGCTTCCAAACTCCCAACGCCAACGTGAGCGTTGATATAGGCCAAAGTGAGGTTGGCTGCCAACTTGGGATCGAACTCACCTGAGTCCAAGGTGAAGCTCTAGCTTCCTGGTGGATAGGATTCATATCGCCAATTGAGATCTGACCTTTTGGTTGCCTTTCATTTCCTCATGTCTTGCCAGCACTTCCTTCTTCCAAATAAACCCAAACCCGCTGTAATATACCAGCCCATTCTCACAATTCTGATCGATTTCTCTCACCCATTCTCACCTTCGTGCAACTGCCAGAACAAAGGTGTCGCGGAAAAGACACCCAGAAAGGGAGGTTGCCTCTGATCTGAGGGCCTTGAGCACTGGAAGCCAAGTGATAGAGCTTTCCAATGGGTTATGCGGAGACTTAAGCTGGTAGAATCGAACCTCCCGAACTCGTAGGACCGGGGACGCTACTAGTAACAAGTGCATCGCTACTAGTAACAAGTGCCTTACTAGTAGTAACAAGAAGAATTTAATTCGAATTGTAATTAATATTAAATTAATAGCTTCTCGTTACTACTAGTAAGGCACTTGTTACTACTAGCAAAGGAATCTACTAGGAACCCCCCCGAACTCGTGCGGACGAACATTTGAAGGCCGAACGCCCTGCCGAACATCTCTCGGGTGCCTGCCTGATGTCCTGTGTTCCCGTGTTCCCTCCGCTCCCACAAGGGTCTCCCAAACATCTTGCGAACATGAACAAAAGCCATGGCTCTGTTCGGATGGAGTTGGTGGGCATTATATAGTTAAAGCCAATGCTGTACCAGCTAGGGAACGGACACATACCTGGTCTACCTTGTTGAGCCGAATGCTGGTGTATGAACAAACTGTTCGGTGGAAAAGGTCGCCGCTGAAAGTTCCTTCGTGTACCGAGTTGCTGTCAGGCAAAGCGCTAGGGCCAGTCAGGTACTTCTGCAGATCACGCAATGCATCTCGATACTCCTGCAAGTCACGGTACTCCTCGATACCAAAAACGGAAATTACCAATCGAGCAAATGGCCTAAGTCGTCTGAAGGGACCCAATATTCGGAGAGTCCATTCAGTGAACTTGCACTAACCAAGTGAGTTTCTATCCGCTACCAGTATTGGTCCTGCAAGGGAATCGGATACCACCCTGCCGCAATGTCTCTGACCTTCCCCACCCGACCGCAACCCAATCACCGGCTCCTGTAGGGCTCGCTTTAAAAGCTTCGGGTTGTCATGACCTCGTAAATCCCAACAGTCAACATGTTGGAACAGCAAAAGCACTCTTTGAGGTCCCTCTTGTGGTATAGCTCTTAGATGCTCTGGCTGGTTGGCCAAAGAGTTGCCGTGCTCATGTCCCAGCTCCAATTGCAGCTCAGGAGGCTCAAACCCACGGTGTCCAAGTGAAGGTTCCAGAAATGCACCTTGAAACTCTTAAGGAGCATTTGGTGTTGGCTGGAAATTACTGGAATGCTTTAGATAATGGCTTTAGCACGCTCAACTAGAAGCACCATGAAGCACCGGCCTTGCCCGGCCTTACCCCTTTCATCATCTTCAAGCAGTTTTGGGTTGATCAGAGATGATCAAAGGCAAGTACTCAATGCTGCAGTCACTCAGGGACTGAGTGAGATCCTTCATTCAAAGGCCAAGACGGGCGTCTACCAACGCAGTGGTCTCATAACGCAGTGCCATCCGAATTATCATTATGCATCACAGCGGCCAACAAACTCCCTCAAGGTTTCACCCTCGTCCAAAATTTCCAGACATCCTTGTGCATCTGATGGTAGGCTCTTGTGTGGGCATCTGATGTGGATACGTCCACGTCTTGAATATTACAGCAACTGGCCATGATTCCTGCTGTCTCTTTCGTCTTTACTTCGGTTTTATGACAAGTTCTAGCTGTTGGCACCGGGATTGCATCGAATCCCACCCCAGCACCCCACTCTGTGCGAGCAAAGGGACCAGGCCGTTAGCGACCATCCAGTGCTGACCAAACTGGTTGCTCAACTCAATGCCATACTGCAGAGTCCTCGCTGGAAAGGTCTCCAACAATCCAACCACAAGGGGGATGTTGAAATCCCTGCGAAAACTCGGGGAGAAAAACACCTGGCAAAGAAGGGTTGAACATGGATGAAGTATATAAACACCTTTAGGACCTTTGAAGATCTACCTGAACTACCTGGGGGCCAACCGGAACGTTGCTGATGACATCTTGTACTCGTCCAAAGGACAACTTAAGGACAACGATCAGAACCACCATCGCTGGATTGATCTTGTCGATACAACACATGGAGTCTAGATGGTCTAGTCACTAGTCTCCCAAATCCAAATAATTACATATACACGTGATCTTTTCCTGTCTTCCTGCTGGGCTAACAGGTCTCCTGATCATTTCTCGCTTCTTTTCAGAGAGCTGGGCTTTCTCTTCGGCTGTGAGCTCACGTACCTCTTCCTGGGCACGCACATGGCGGTGAATTTGTGCCCAGCAGCCGAGTAGCCTTCCTAAAGGTCAGCAATGAACCATACTTTCCCTTTGTGAGGTAGCATCACCCTCATTAGGATGTTTAAACTCATTTGGCCCATTCTGACCAACCCTGTCATTATGGTTGGCCTTCACAATGAAATGGCTGCGGAAACAATGTCTGAAAATACTCCAATAATTATGTGTCTGAACCCTGGCCACTAACCAGCCATTCAGAAACCAATCACACTTCTCCTATCATGCCCTCCACTCTGCACAAGAACATGAACGCAACACCGGTTCCCACCGCCGGGATGGTCTCGCCTGCTCCTCCTCCTCTGGCAGTTCGGTCACCACTTCTTCGGTCTGTTCTGTCTCCTCCAAAGGCCCAGTCTCGCCCATGGAGTCCAAGGAGAACTGTTGGGATTGAGCTGAAGTCTGTTGACATCTTTCACATCGTTAGCACTTCTTCACCGTCTTTTGCCTCCAGTCCAGAGTTGGAGTGTTCCGAAGTTCCACCCGCCTCTTTCTCCTCTTCAATCTCCTCATCAATTCCGTTCCTCAAACGACAAGGAACATTGATGACGGACGCTGCGACTATGGCAATGCTGATTCCAACTCTATATATTGGGAAGGCATGTTCTTGCTGTTCGATTTCAGGATCATCCTCTGAAACTGCTGGTCAGCTTCCTCTTGGCTTATTTGGCTATGGCCCCAGAAGGAAGTCACAGGGCAATCAGCCAATATCGGATATCTTCTCTAAATCGTAGCCCCAACCCAGGCGTGCTGTTCAACCCTGCCAGTGCCCGCCACTCCGCATGTTCAGCTTGCTGAGTCTCAAGAGGCCTTGATCCTCAATGTCCCAGGACAAACATTGTGCCTTGGTATAGGCCGCCTGCGTCAAGAGCAGGGCACTCTCAGCTTCGGTGGGCCATGGCCCTACGCGGAGATCCTCCAAGTTGGCAGCGTCCATGGCCTTACCTCAGCGGATCCGAGAATTGCGGATTACCTGGTGTCGTTTGATGAAATCATGACGCCTCTGCACATCTCTACTCTCTACGAAACATCCCCAACAACTGATCAATCACACTTCCCTTCCAGCCCGACATATTAGCCCAACCAAATGAAATGGCCCAAACCAAGGCGCTGCAAACTTGCACCGCGAAGGCTCCCTCCTCTGCACGCTTGGCTTCCAGCCCACACTGGCACCTCATATTGTTCAGGTGCTCGTTTGGTTGAGTGGTAGATCTGGCGGTCATCAGGTTTGAAAAATGGGACCATGGGACCCAAATCATCCATAATCTCTTCAGCCAGGTGATATTCCTCTATTCTCTGCCAAGTCCAAGTCACATCAACTTCACGATTCGCTTGGCCTTGCGAACTGCTTCCTCCTTCTCACCTCAGATGTCGAAGACCCTTCCACCAATTCTCAAGAGTGACTGCAAACCAGCTAACAAACAGCTCAAAGCACCTCCTCCCAGGTAGACCGCTCGTGAACACTTCCACTCGAAAGGGTAGACCCTAAATACATATCTGCAACGTAGCTACCATATACAAAAGCCACATCATCCAAACCGACACAGGCCAAAAGCAAGGGAATATGAGGAGACCAGTGAGGTGATCCCTTTTGGAGGCCAGGTAGTGCCACGTCAGTGCTCTTCTTGGACGCCAAGCAGCTTTTTGGCCGTTTGTCCAGGATCGGCTTCCCATCGACCACCGCTGGCCCGCCACCCACAGAGACTGTGGCATTGGCTTGGAAGGGCAGCGGCTTCAACGGCCTCAAGCAAATGAAAGGCGGAAATGCAAATAGGAATGGCCTCCAACCTGCTAGCAAGAGCCACCAACCTACTAGCGATGGCCTCCAATCTACTAGCAATGGCCTCTACTAGCGATGGCTTCCAACCTACTAGCAATGGCCTCCAACCTACTAGCAATGGCCT